ATATATATATATATATATATATATATGTATAGATGTATCTTATAACTTCCGTCCCTCGTCCTCATTTTTGATCGCATCTCCAATAATCCCAGAATCCACTTCAAATGAAAGTAGCCTTTTAGTGCCAAGAAGACACAGAGAAGAGGTGCCTGCTGTGCCAACCCAAGAGAAAGGAATCCCTCACCAGTTGGAGCTGATACCCTTCTGAAGGATAATGCAAGCGGAGCAGCAGCCGCGCCTGCGACACGGCGAAGGTGCTGGGAGCGAGACTCGAGAATCCGGCATCGCGCATTAGACTATCCCACCGCTCGTGCCGCTCCCTCCGCCCGTCGCCCTCCCCACCCACGATGCTTTCGATCTCCCGCCCCAGCCACACCTGCTCCACCGCCATTCTCTCCTCGCTTGTCGGAGGCAGCGTCGCCTCCAATGCCTCGAACACTGCCGTGTAGTAGTCCAGGGCCTCCACGAACCTCTGCATGAAGCTCCGCGAGCTGTGTACTGTTTCTCTCTCTGCCACCGTGACCACCGATGGGTTCATCACTCGTATAGTTCGAAGAAATGCCTGCAGCTTCCGAGATCCGTCGTCATTTCCGTCCTCTCTCTGTAGCTTGTGCAAGAACAGCACACAGTTCACTACAAGAGTCTCGCTGGGATGGAATTGTAAACAAGATGGGGTGAAATTGTAACTGGTGTTAGTGGAGTGAACGGAAGGAGGGAGGAGAAGAGGGTGGAACTGGAATTCTAGGCCCAAAGAGTGGGCGAAATTTCGAAGCCGGTCACCGGTGCGTTGGAGGGTTTCGAGGCTGCTTCCGGTGCCAGAGATACGGATGAAGGGAGGATCACCAGGGTCAGAGCGGTCGGCGATGGCCTGGAGGAGGGGCGGCCACTGCAGGCCGTAGTAGGTGTCGAAGTCGAGGATGTGGATGTGGCGGTGGCCATCCACAGCCTCAAGGATGGCCTGGTTTGCAGTGAGGTGCGAGAAGCGGAGGAATGGGGTCATCTGATTGAACAACAAGTAGGATGATTGGAGGGACCCCAAGGAGGCGGCGGAAGGAGAAACCCTGCCAATGCGTACAGAGAGGGCACGGCAGAACTGGCGGATGAGGCGGTCGATGGAGTCGCCATAGGGGGCTGCTGCTGCGGTGAGGATGGAGATCGCACGTTCAGCAGCGGGGAGGTCGCCGCAGTGGACGAGCTCGGCACAGCTGATCAGTAATTGCCGTGCATTGACAGTCGAGGAGATCAGGCCAGGTTCAGGATTCGGATGGTGAGGATCGGGATGAAGGTGGGTATCTTGAGCTCCTCCTCCATCGGTCTTGAGTGAGCTAAGCATGTCTCAGAAGTGGACGTGGGATGAAGGTGGAGAACAAGGGGAAAGGGAGAGTTTTGGGGCTTGCATCCCTAAGTCTGAACAGAACATGTCGAGATGTAGTAGCTCCCTTCACAGGACATCCACTGTTGTGGGGAGTGATAGTTGTAGAAGTAGTTCTAGTTGTTGCAGTAGCAGAGCTTGGCAACTTGTATCCAGATCCACTCTTCTCCGTGTCCCATCTCTCTCTCTCTCTCTCTCTCTAGTAATTTGCCAAGGGTGGAGAATTCTAACATTGTTGGGATGCAATAGATTAGGAGGACACATGGTATCTGCAAGGAGAGCAGCTAAAAGAATGACCCATATCCGAAAGGGAGACATCAAGAGTATCAATCTTCTGTAACAGTCTGGAGATTTCTGTGTCTCCTAATCCTTTCTTTTCTTCTTTTTATTGTGTCTCTTTTACTGAGGCTGCACGCCCTCTCCCAGCTCCAATCCTCTTTCGGTTCTATTACCCAATTGTGGGGTCTTCATTGATGGCTTTCTTGTAGATCCCTCCTACTATCCCCAACAAGCAAGACCTTAGAACAAGCGATCATCCACAGATCCAATAGCAACAACAAAGAAAAAGAAGCAGATCCAAATAGTCCACCTTCTATCATTGCTTACTCTCTCGTTGAACTCTGAAACTAAGTAGCAAACAAATGGAATATTAGAGGACCATGGGAAAGCACATGTGCCAAACGGATGGAATGCTTTTCCAGGCCCACAGCCTCCGATCACCATTGATGTGGCGCTTTATATCAGACAACCAAGATGTTCTCTTCTTCCTTCGTTTCCCCTCCTCTCAGTAGAAGATGGTGAACAAGGAGGTTTGTCTAGGCAACATCAGAGGAGATGTAGGCCAATTCTTCGTGCCACAAAAGCTCAAATCATGTGGAGATTAAAGAGAGAGGAAAAAGTAGAAGTTAATGAGAACAAGCAGCAACAGGACAATCTATAACACAATGGGATGAAAGAAAAACACAGATCAGTGAGAAGATACCTAAACAGACAAACAAAAGCAGCAACAGTTTCTGATTGTCATCTCAAGTCCATCCTCCAACTATCTCCTCTTAGAAATTCTTTGTTGAACAATGAATCATACTAATTAGAATTAACATCAATTCAATCCAAAAGAAGTTTCAAGTTAATAGATTCTCTTGAGACTATTTTTTATCCTCTTTTTACATATAAATATTTTCTAACATTAAAACATTAGTAAATCTTAATTATCGAAAAGGTTCACTGCACGTCAGAACTGGCAAGTAATCAAATAGGATGTTTCAAGGCTCAGAGACGGAAAAGAAGAAAAAAAAAAAAAAAGAGGAGAAAAAGTAGCACAAATGCACACAACAAAAAGGGAAAATGGTTAATACAAGAGGTGACCCGTTGAGATGAACGATGATACAAAACGTTGCTACTATCCTTGCACTATATGCATCCTCGAGATGGACGATGATGCACTCCTTCCTCCAATACAAAGTGGTATGAGAAATGTTTCACTTTATTCATGTGTCGACACCATCATATTACTAGAAAATAACAAAATAATAATAATAATAATAATAATAATAATAATAATAATAATAATAATAATAATAATAATCTAAATACATCATGTTAGTAAAAAAAATCGAATATTTTTTATTATAAAAATAATCTCCCTAATCGCAAGTGGTTAGAGGAGGACGATGATTATACAAGTATAATTATCAAGATTAGATATTATTTTTTTCTCTCAAATTTATTTTTAAAAAACTTAATTCGAACATTAAAGAATAATTCTTGATACGAGTCTTTATACAACAAAGATGTCTTGACCTCGGATCCACTTAGAGAGAATTTTTATTCTTTTTTGGACGGCATTAAACTTGCCATACAAGGGACTAAATGAAATAGAGGATGTAGCATTGGCCATCCAAAAAAGGAATAGGCGATTGCAAAGAGTCCCTGAGCCTAAATGGTGGTTCTGTTGGGCTGACAGCCCATATTCAGCCCGATGTAGGTTTTATCAGCCCACATCTCATCCCCTCTTAACCTAATCTTAATTAACATTAGAGGGGTGTGATGGTTGCCAAATACTGCATAAATAGGGTAGAAACGAGGGCAACAAGGTGGAGATCTTCGCAGTAGAAAAGATGTGAAGAAAAAGGTAGAAAAATAAGAGAAAGAAATGGAAGAAAATAAGGACAACGCAGAGAGACTGTTTTCAATCATCTAGTAGTGTTCTCATCTCAGGTTAGATTAAATCTACAGTAAATTTTTGTTGTGATTACTTGGGGAGGTTTTAGATATTGTGGACAGTGACATGATCCTTATATCCCAGTTATTCTCCTGTGATTGTTGCTAGGGTTTAGAGCAAGAGATTGAGATTTGTATATTCATTATTCTCATAGTGGATTATCTCTAGTTTGCCCCGTGGTTTTTACTATTCACATTGGAAGTATTTTCCACGTATATCTTTTCTATTTGATTGTGATTTCATTTAATTCCGCTACATATTATGACCTGCTAGTATTTGTTCATATACAAAAGTTATTTCTCTTTATATCCCATTAGGTTCTTAATTTTCTCTCTTGAGCTACGAATGAAAAAGATTATTATGTTTAGGATGCTTTGGATCGAGTTGATTGGTGACATTATGTTTTTTGTGGCAAATAAAGGGAGTGTGAGCTAAAACACACTACCTTACGATTAACTCAAATCTTTCTTTCGGTAGGTTCCCCGATCAAAGATAAGATTGTTATGCCACCATCGTTGTGCATGTGCCATCTCAGACTTTTGCATCACTCGTGACATTAATAGATTGATCCGACTTGACGGATTATATAAAGATCTTCCAAATATGATGGTGTGATCTTCTTATAAATCCAATATATTACTTTACTTTACATATTTGAAGATTAATAATTAATTTATATATTTTTAAATATATATATATATTAGCCAATTAACTAAATAATTTAAAATCAATCGTACACAAAGCATCATAAATAATATAATATTTAAAACTATAATAATCAAATATTTTTTTGATCATTTTAAATGAACACAATATCAAAATAGATATCTAAAAAGAACCAATAATTCATTCAATACTTGAAAATCATATAATTTTATTAGTTAAAAGCATATATGTTTTAGTCTTGAAACCAAGCCAAATAAAAGTCATCAAATACTTACCTTAATCTTAGAATCATCACAAGAGACTGTTTTCCTGGTTTGAGAAAAGAAAGATTAGTTTCGAGAAACTATAGATTAGTTATGTACTAAATTGTCCTAATACTTTATTTTATTTTATTTTTTAAGTATTTCTGATCATAATAATTCTGGAGGAATTGACAGTTCCGCTTTTCTAAAATCAAGAACCGAAATGGAATCGAACCAATAAGAGCAACCGATGGTTCGATTCGAATCGTTAATTTATTATTTATTTTATTTTTTTTAATTTAAAATAATTAAAAATATAAAAAAAATTATAATTTTATTTCTAAATAATTAAAATTTTAAAATCATAGAACCAACGATTTGATTCCGAAACCATCTGTTTTGGTTTCTAAGTGTCGATTCAACTACTTCTAATTCGGTTTGGAATCAATAAATCGTTAAATCGATTCAATTTTGATTTTGTTCCGATTGGAATCAAATGGTTATCGGAGCTACTGATAATTATACTTAAATTCTAAATAAATTTCATGGATATTACAAAATGATGATGGCGTCTTCTCACACTTTTTATTCATAATATATCGATTACTTGAGATAAATGAAATTGACTTGGAAGACTTGTGGCATATGCTTCGTAATATATCCTCGTCGATCGATGTAAACTTGCATGTAAAATGTTAAGCTTGGAAATGCAATTCCATCCTGAACAGGATGTTGCTGTATAAGTCAGAATCGTAGAAAGCAGTCAATTCACTATGATGGATGGATGCCATCACATCTTGAGAACCGTCTTTTCGTGAAAGGGATATATAACTTTACGTTACAAATATGAAAAGATCAAACATACAAAGAAAAATAATTCTATACATGAATAAATATTAACAGATCATAATATACAACGAAATTAAATGAAATCATAATCAAATAAAATATTAAAATATACATGAAAAATTTGAAGGGTAAAAATCACGAGACAAACTAGAAATAATCCGCTACAACTGGGATATAAGGATTATATCATTATGCTCAATATTCTAAATTCTCCCTAATTCTCCCTAAGTAATCACAGTAAGAATCTATTGTAGATTTGATCTAACCTGAGATGAGAACACTATTGGATGATTGAGAGCAGTCTCTCTGCGTTGTCCTTGTTTTCTTTCCTTTCTTTCTCCTTGGATTTTTATCTTTTTCTCCTCCTTTTTGTTGCTACAAGGATCACGTCACTGTTGCCCTCATTGCTGCACTATTTATGCCTATTTTCATAGCCACCACACCCCCTCTAATAGAAATTAAGGTTAGGTTAAGAGGGGATGAGTTGTGGGCTGATAAAGCCTACCTTGGGCTGAATATGGGCTGTCAACCCAACAACCTCCCCCTTTAGCCCATAAGGGAAACTGTCTCATGACTCCTCAATGTGAAGCCATGTCGACCAGTTGGTATATCTCCTGTCTTTCTTTTGGTAAGGTCTTCATTCCATTTGGTAGTAGTACCAAATCATAAGTATGGTTCTTTTGAAGAGCATCCATCTCTTCCTGCATAGCAACTAACCACTTATCTTTTTGCTTACTTTCAACTGCTTCTTGGTAACTCTTTGGTTTACCTGCATCAGTAAGCATCACATATTCATCTGTAGAGTATCTTCTAGAAGGTTGACGTTGTCTAGAAGATCTTCTCAACTGAGGTTCTGCGGGAAGTTGCTCTCCAACTTCTTCTTGCTCAACATGTCCAGCAGGTAGATCAACATCAAGCACTACACTATCTTCCTGCATATCTCCCCCATCACCCTGATATACTGGAGGAGTAACTAGGTCACAATCTGCTAACCATTCTGCAGAAATCTTGGTTGGTGCTTTCTTCTTCATATCCTCAAATGTTTGATCCTCAAAGAAGACTATATCTCTGCTTCTAAATACTTTCTGCTTTTCTGGATCTCAAAGCCTATAAC